GTTATTGCTGCTATTTTTTGCAAACCGTTCATGAATTGGGAGGGACCGATTACAAGCTTTTTGTTGGTGAAATCCTCTTAACCTCGAAATTATTCTTTTAACACTACATGCAATTCTTACGGTATGGTGCATTTATGAGTAGGTGAAAAACATAAAAATATTGAAGTTTGCCCAAACATATTTATTTCACGCTAAATTAGCATTGACCAAGTCTTCGTTCGGTCGCACCTTCAGATATATTAAAAATAGGTAAAAGAATAAAATTGTTATATGTAAAGATATTTCGCAGTCACGAGATCGGAGATGTACTCTACGCTTGCGTGCTATACCGAAATTAAACACCACGAAAAAAATGCATAGGAAAAATATTGATTGTGTAAAAATATTTTTAAAAATGTACATGAAATTGAGTGCATCGACTATATAATATGGTCAAAATTCATAAAAAAAAAGTATCTTACCTTTGAAGACCTGAAAAAAGATAAGAGCAATTATACCTGGTATATAAGAGCATACTGTCAAAGCTAGTAACTTCCAGGTGCCAGATGTCTTCAAATGCTTGCAACATCTTTATTCAATCAGCCAACAATTGAAATTTTTGCAAGCATAACCCAACACGTGTGCCATCAGAAAATACGATCAACGAAGCCCTTACCATAAAATTTGTTAATTTCGGAAATCCAACATTTTGGCAAAAATATGGTAACACTAACAGTTACGGTACCGTTCAACCGGAAGCCAATCATAGACCATCCTGAAACTGACCAATTGCTAGCAAGGAGTCAGGGTAGGGGCAGGGTTGCCTTGGACACCCCAAATATGTCCGCTACAGAAGCATTATTTCAGGCTAGCGTAAGTCTTTGCTTTTAATAATAATAATAATAACAATAGCGGTTTCAGCGTTTATTAGGCCGTAGGCCTGTCGCCGACTCTGACCGCCCGGCCTCCTTGCCGATTCTGACCAGAAACTGTCGCAAAGAGCTGGGATCGAACCCGCGTCAATATAGGCGACGGAGTTACCGCTTGTTTAATTTCTTTGAGTTCATATGAATTAATTTATATTTAATGTGAGCAATACCGAATGCATTTACTAGTTAAATACAGTTCATACAATGTATAGCGTGAATGCAATTATTTGATTTAGGGCAAAATCGACAAAAATTTTCATTCGAAAATAACGCGATGCACTGCAAAAATAATTATTTTGAGTCAGCTTATAGTTTATGTCGGCATTAAGAAATAAAATTCTCATCCTACCCTGGTATTTGAACGGTAAAATAATTCGATTTAAAAATTAGCCAATCATATATTGTTGGAACTTCTCATATTTTCTATGTTCAAAGTATTTTCCTCCAGTGTAAGTTTGATATTGCTTAAATGAAAATAAATGAAATATGTTTCTCTCTCTTTTTACTGAATGATTATGAAACGCCAATATTGGCCACTTGAAATATTTAGATGTATCACAGAAGAATCGTCATCTTCTTTTATTCAACTTTTTGTGTAATATTTTAAATCTAAAAAGCAAACTGTATAGCTACAAATATTAGTAGTTATCCATTATTTTATCTTGATTTCTAAAATAAAATAAAAAAACACATAAAAGATTTTACGCAAAAAATAAATTTATGAGTCAAACGTCACGAAAAACTCGCCACAGTCAAAGCTTAACAAACTACAAAAATAAATAAATAAATATAAAAACAGTGAAAATTTCAAAAATATTCTGAAAAATAGTTGAGAAGCAAAAACTTACTTGATTTAGAGCGTTCGTTCCCTGATTAGCCAAGATAGGGAAGATGTTCCAACCAATCCACACCCATCGAACAAAACAGAAACAAAAAACGAGCGTTAGAAATTTTTCCCGCGATAGAAGTGAAAATATGAAGCCATAAAGAAAGAGCGTTGTGTTACTAATCAAACTTTGAAAATAGTTGCGGAAGTTCAAAAGAAGTTGGTAAATCTTGCCTACATCTATTGAAAAAAAAGTGTTTTCATTGCCTTATTTGATGCATAAGCAAAGGAATACAATGTTATTTTAAAGATTATTGGATCAGTGACTAGGTATGCGTACGCAAAGAACGACGGCATGTGCTAGATTCATTTTATTACTCATCAGAAAATACAATTTGGCTTTTTATAAGTTTGATCCCTAAGAATAGTTCATTAACACAACGCTCAATCTTCATGCCGTACACTCATTTTACTGTCCGCATTACATGGGCATGCGCCGAACTGCCCTCAGGTTTGTCATCTTAGATATTGATGTGTTTTAGATGATTAGATGACGATTATCATTAATATTAACAAAAAATGTATAAATTGATAATTTTTAACTTCATTTCTCTGGACTGGTCAATTTGGTTTCGTGTGACTGTATATCAAACTTGTTGCGTGGGGAAATTACGTAAATGCCACGATTTGACTAAATTTACTTGCCATTTAGGCTCAGCAACAAACTTCTCGGTAATCAAATCTTCTGAAAATATAATCTACATGACCTTTATTTTCCGATTAATCAGATACTTTATAAGATATCAAGACGCATGCCCATGAATTCAGAACCTTCATTATTGTTGTCATAGTCGGACACAGTCATAGGACCCAGAGCTGAAAAATTTGAGAGCACATCTGCTTGCATTAATACATTTATTCCATCTGCAAACGAAAACAATTGATACCACAGTTTAAGGTAATAGAAAATTTCCCCGAAAATATTAAATCAATCGGAGATTTATGCAAAGGTCAGAGAATAGGAAATGGTTAGAAACGAGTAGCTTTCCGCTAGTAAAATTTATAACCATTCTTATCTCTAAACACCTAATAAGTAGAAAACCAATTAAATAAGAAACCTAATAAGGTAGACACGAATATCACTATCATGAACACAGAACGGAGTGCTGACAAATCTGGAAGAGGAAAATGAAGTATTCGTGTAATATCAGTTATCAGAATGATTTAGAATAGGAAATGTTTGAATTAAAACTAAATGTCTCAAACTAAAATATATGAAAATCTAAAATTACATCCAAATTATTTTTATGAAAGCTAAACAGTTATCGTATAATTGCGTCTGAGACGTTACAATGTTCGTGTTAAAAGCCTACACAAGCCTTTGAATTCACTCAGGTTAGCCACACATAATACAATTTATTTGCGTTTAAAAAGTTTGAATTTTTCTGGCCATGCTGCAAAAAATTCTGAAAGTTATATCGATAGAGAAGACAGAAGTGGGTTCTGGGAATTGTTGGCACATTTAAGCAAGTAACTGAACAGTTCATGCGCGTCACACCGACATATTTAGTTTAATTAAAACCATTTAATTCAGAGTGAGAATTGAGGGAAAGCTAACGGAAGGTGTAGACATTCACACGGAAATCAGAGAACAGCTTGAGGGCTCCTGAGAAGTTCATCACTAGGAGATGATTCCATAGTTCGGTTATTAGTATTCGGTTGAAATTTCCAACTTCATTAATTTGTGTGATAAATTTTTTAGTTAGCAAACGATACTTTGATTCCGAAGGCTTTGAAACAATTTATTGGACAGAAAACCCGTCGTTATCACTAAGCGATGATTTTTAAGGGGCTTAAGTTTATAGTGATATTTCAACTTGGCTATACTTTAACCCTTATCATCTCGGTTGGGGCAAAAATGTCTTTCACTCTACACTACCATTAAGGAAATGAGCAAGCCAAATCTAACAGGCGTGTAATCCATGTTATTTCTCAGTCGCGATTCGCTCCTAATTTTATTACCATAGCGTCATCGATGTCATGACAATTAATTAATATGCCTTGTATATTGTGAAGATTATTGTGGGCCAGCATTGAGCCATTAGTATGTGCCACCACGTAATATGAACCCTCGCACCTGCAAGTAAAGTTATTTGCCTCAAACAATTGCCTGTAGGCTACACTTTTTCCTGATCGTTTGTCAAGTACACCATCATTCATTTATCCTAATCATTTCTCATGCACACCATCATTAAATTACTGAACAAATTTGAGACTCACATTTGTAAATGTTTTGTTTTGAATTTTGCTGAGCTTTATCTTGGAAATACCACAATTAGATTAGTTATATTTTTATGTCGAGCGACTATATTTATGCCGGGCATATATTTCTTACGCTCAAAGTGAAAAGTAACAATAGTTCTAACGAGCTCTAATGGCATGGTTTAAAGTTTAATGGATGCAATTTCAATTTGAAAGGACCTTCGAAAGGGTTTTAATTAAGTATACATGCATTAGTGGCTAGATATAATGTATATTATGTTCTTTCGAGTTTGTCCATCAGCGGGGTTTGGATTACAGTCCAGTGTATATTTATTGTTTAATTTGTTTAAATTTTGCTTCTTTTTTTTTTGTTTATGAAGCAGGCACTACGACGGTGGTTTGCTGCGTCGAAATCTTCTAAATGCTATGGTTCAAATTATGTTCAATACGATTTTTTAAATCGGCCTTGGCATAAAGGGTAAGGGCTAGGAGTACTACGGGAAAAGTGCTCTGATAAAATGTCAAAAATTAAAAATTTGAATTCTGTTACAATCACTAGGTGAAGTTCAAACCGAATATCATTCAACATACTAAGCTTGACGGGTTATAAGAACATTTTAACTGTTCAACCGTCAGTCATTTAACGTGCAGCTGATCTATAACATGTTTACGTCATCACTTCATGGGAGCGTCTTGACAAACGTCACTCCCAAAAGCATTAAATTATGTGCTTTACTTCATCATTCGTGTTTTACTTCTCATCATGACGAAGAACTGATAACTTGAAATTGATTCATTACCACATTACGTAATACATCAATTAATGCAGAAGTAATTGCACTAAGCATCAGACAGAAAATCAAGTGAAATGAAATGCAACTTATATTGTTATAGGTTCATAACCAACATTCATTCTATAGATTTAATAATATCTACCGAAACTTTATTCCCAGATTAAATTATTTTTTTAACAAAACAAAATATAATAATAAATTAAATCTCACCTGTCTGAGTGGAGGTGTCGAAGAAAGCGCACGACGTCTCGATGGTCATGGTAGCCAAGGTTCCGTCGGTGATCTGGGCACAGGAGTCGCGACGTCCTCGAGTCTTTGACATCTCCTCGCTCTGTGTGCTCTGCCTTCTGAAGTTGCGGGCTCTCATGATGTCTTCTGTGGTCGACTGTCGTCTAAATCCAGTTGACTTGAGAATTTCTTCGGTTGTAGACTGTCTGCGCAAACGTCGTTCCTTAGGAGAGTGTTCACGGGATGAACACGTCGAAGAAGAGTCGGGAGATCGTGGAGACCTCGAGGATCTTCTACCACGACCCGCGTACTCGATGGCGGTGGTTGACTGTCGCCTCAAATTTGTGCGGGGTGAAGTTTCACGGGAGTTGGGATCGCTCGGTTCCGGAGACAAACGAGGCCGCGAATCGCGACGAGTTTTCCTGCTTATTGCGATGTTCTCAGCCGCTGCTGAATCAGGTGACAACGAATCACGACGATTCTTTCGCGGCATACCTTCCGGCTCCGAAGCGTCAGGCAAAAGAAAAGGTCTAGAGTCCCGACGTGGGCACTGAATTGGTCCTTCTTCAATGGCCGTAGACTGTCGTCTGAGACTGCGGTATTTAGGAGAAGGCTCCCGACTTCCTCTCGCCGAACCGCGATCGGGCGATGCTTGAGGACGAGAATCTCTCCTGCCACGAGACATTTGCGAATCACGTCGACTCCATGTGGGAGTTGGTGAAGTAGGCACTGGTGAAGTTATGGGTGATCGAGGCTCAACAATTGTTGGCTCGACAACATCAGGGGCTGCACCAGACAACTGCGAGACCAACGACACCCCTGACTCAGCTGACGCTTGAGTAATAACCATAGTTCTGGGGACCAAATCCCTCTCCCGAGGCTCTGGCGAAATAATTCTCGGAGACGCTATGTCAGGTGACACTGTTTTTTCAAACGTCCGAGCATGTCTCGTATACACTTGAGTGGTCGAATCCCTCCGCTCCTTCTTCTCCTGTTCTATTGAATCTCTTCGCCTGCGAATAATATCGCCAACACTCTCACGCTTTGTAAAAAGCTTTGCAATGTCGCTCCTGATATCAGTTCCACTTTGTCTCCGTTTTTTGCAGTCGGTTGATGACTCCCGACGCATTTTGATCTTTGGCACGTCGGTTGTGGCGGTAGAGTCTCGTCGGCCTCCCCAAGGCAAAGACTTGGCGATCTCGGCCAAAGAGTCTCGGTGAACTCTACTCTCTCTGCTCTCCCTACGGGCCAGGCTGCTGCTCGATGTTGAGGTTCCCGTCGACCGATTCTCTGTGTCACGACGACCCCAGTCGCGCAAAATATCCGTTAATTGAGCAATAGACGACCTTCTCCTTCGAGAAGTGGGAGGGGATGTTTCCTGTACCTCCGTCGGAGGATCAATGGTTGTAATCTGGGCCGACGAATCCCGGCGCCCAGTCCGTGGGACTCTGGGCGCCGAGTCGTCACTTTGAATGTCATCCCAGCCATTGCCTCCCTCCCATAGCAGTCCCACCTGATGGCTCAGGATGGGCAAGTTGCACACGAAACAGATCACAGACATGGTTCTGATGGGAGAAAAGACAAAACACCGCGGGTAAGTCATGCTATATTAACCGTTGAAAATATAATATGAAAGCAGATTGATCAAGCCATGCAGGAAAGAGAATAAATTGAATTAGGTTTGACTCATTTCAAGAAAATCACCCAAAAATACACCGTTAACTAAAATAATTTTTTAACACAATCGTATCATCTGTAAGAAAAAAAATATTCTTTGAAAGCAGGAAACAAATTTATTCTTATTTATGAAGTAAAGTAATCTGTGAGAATAACTTTCAAGCAAAACAAGAGATGGCTGATTTGTTTAAGAACGTGAATTTTATATTAAACTCTCGTGATGAGTTTGTCACGAGAAAAGTTCCTTGGAAAAGTCACACATGAAGACTTCGAAATTTTTTGAATTCTTACAATGTTATGATCATGAAGAAATGACACTGATCATGCTCATCAAATTATGTCAAAAAAAATATTACAGTTTTTTCTATTTATTCGAACTTTCAATCAAGTTTAAAATATTTGAGTTGTTAACTCATCTTATGAACATAAATATCTAGCTCATTTTTTCAGCTGGAACTATTTTTAAGTATATGGAATGAAATTTTGAGATATATCATAGTTTTTCTATTTAATTATTTAGAGAATTGTGGTCAATTGAATAATAATGATTTCAATTGATTAATCTGATAATAATTATCAATTTGAAAATAATGAAGAACTTTTGCGTTCTTATAATATTGTTAACACTAGCTGATGAAACACTGGTGTTAACACAAGTTTAATGGAAAGCACTTTCTGGCCTCAAACTACGATATAGTTCAAGAAATTTTGCTACACTCGCTCAGCCTGGAGATAAGGAAATTTGAGATAAGATCGTAGTGACTGCCTTCGATAAAGCAAAGGTAAACATGTCAATGGAAGTTAGAACAAATTAAACATTGTTAAATTTATCAACGTCATGTTTAATGTTCATGCAGTCAATTTAGACGTAAAGATTACTGTGCAACTTTTACAGTAAAGGTAATTTAAACCTTTTTTGAGTGCACACAAGATGTAGAACATTCACAGTCTAAAAACAAAATTCCTCTTAGGTAATGTTTCCAAATATAAATCTATTTAGTAAACAGTTTCAGCAAAGACACATTTCAGAGCTCTCATATTATCTATATGAGAGCTCATCAATCTATTTATTGATACTTTTTATAACTAAGATACAAATATGTATTCAAAATCTTCAAATCCTGTAGAACAAACCGACATGCCGTAATTCTAAATTTAAGAGATGCAGTTTAGGCCTACCAGGCAGAAAGTTACAAGAGCTTTATATTCTTTCAATAATCACACCCATATCCTATTGGACAGTAATTTAATCCTTAATTGTCAGCCATTCCGCATTTACCATTTGGTTGCCATTGATGCCAAAAGAAATCCTATATTGTACATAAAGTATTGAACGTCCCATAGGAAAATTCTCGGTATGTTTGCGTCATCTTTCATCCTTTTCGTGGTTATTAGAAATGGGTGCGCATGCGTGTAAACGAACCAATCGTAACAGAAGTTAATAGATGTTACAATGTTAACTTCTTTGACTCATTACAGTGTTTTTTTTTTCGGATAATTCACTGAATCCGAAAAATTAAGCGCACATCTGTAAAGACTTATCAACACTCTGAGTCGATACGAGGTGAAATTTTTAACATGGTAAAGTCAAACTGCTACATTTCAATTCTGTCCGTTTTTTTGGACTCGAACTCGACGTGTACTGGTACGCCCCTTGTGCAAGATCACGACGACCCACATATGCACAAAGAATGAATCACGATTGAACAAAGTCTCACTCATTTAGTTGAGTGTAGATATTAGAATAATTTAATATCCTAGGTATTGATGTTGTACATTGTGTGGCCCAAAAAAAATTGAGAAAATCCCCTTTCCGCACATGAAACAAATAAGAAGAAACATTCAAGCTTTTAACCATCCACACCAGTCACAAGTTGTACGATCATAGGCTCAGAGGCAGAGTAGGTAGGAGGAGTAGAAGTGAAGGTTTTATGGGATAAGGAGGAGTGAAGGTTTTATGGGATAAGGAGGAGTGAAGGTTTCATCGGATAACGAGAAGTGAGGGTTTTATGGGATGAGGAGGAGTGAGGGTTTTATGGGATAAGGAGGAGTGAAGGTTTTATGGGATAAGGAGGAGTGAAGGTTTTATGGGATAAGGAGGAGTGAAGGTTTTATGGGATAAGGAGGAGTGAAGGTTTCATCGGATAACGAGGAGTGAGGGTTTTATGGGATGAGGAGGAGTGAGGGTTTGAGGGGAAAGAAGGCATGGAATTTTAATGGACAAACAGAAGTGATTGTTTGAATAAATAAGAAGGAGGAAGAGTTTTAAAGGATAAGGTGTGAAGGTTTTAATGGATAAAAATCGGTTGGGTTTTAATGGAAAAAAGTGAAAACTTTAAGGAACGAGGAGGAGTGAAAGTTTCAATGAATACGAAGGCTGATACGAGGAATTGATAATAATCTGTAACACAGTGAGAGGGATAGCGGCTCAGGCTAGTAAATTCAAAGATCATAATTTAATAGGGAATTTTATTAAATTTGACTTTATTCGAATGGTTGAGAACTGAGTCAGCTGGCTCAGTTAAACTGTTTTTAATTAAGTTCCACAATTTATATTGATGCAGATCGTTGATAAAAACTGTTTTGTTTATAATTGAATATTTTCCGTTTACTGAAACTTATGAAAATTTTAACGATTGTCGGTTAAAATATAAACATAAGTTCAGTCACTCGATAAATCATCAACAGACCTCAAAAATATTGATCACTTATAAACGGAAAGAAACAGCAGAGCAATTTAATACACATCGTATCGAGGACTCCTATAGAAATGTTATGTTAACTATTTTTTATTTAAAATTTATCAATGATTCAAATGATCTGATTTAAACAGGAAGTATAATTATTGATTTAAAATTAGAATACTAACTTTATGGACGTTTTTCTAGGTCTTCTGATGATATCATCCTACCCGGAAGATTAGCTCGTGACTGGAAAAAAAAACAAATGCGAGTTCCCGAGAATTTGGTCAATCGAATAAAGCTGAATTTAAATTCGAACAAATAGATTGATTAGGACTAGACGACCTTGCACTGGATGACCTCCATTCAAATTAGACTGGTAATTCCAGAATAAGTAGGATTTGTTTGCCGGTTCCTATATATATAAATAGTTAAGCAATTTGTTATATAAATAGTCACAGTAGCATATTTATCAAAAGACTCGGTCTCGAGCTATAATTGTGACATCCATAATCTACGCTAATTGAGGTTTGGGCTCCGAAATAAGCTTGCAATTTATTAATATCAAACTAAAGTAATAGGCGGGAGAATAAGCCAGGTTTAAGATTCTGCATCATTTAAAAATGTTAAATTTTCTAGCATTGAATTAGATAGTAATTTCAGAATACGAAGCACAAGAAAGTAAGATTTTTCTTAAAAATCAAATTTGTATGGTTTAATATACGCGAAAGTTGGCTTCAACTGAAAATTCAAAGAACATACTTTTTGCGCCTTTCAAAATTACCACAAACCATATTTAATACCAATCCAATACCTATAGCAACATTTATTTTGTAGCGATCAATTTTGGTACCTGATTGGTACGGAACTTCGAAGGTTTTTATACAACAAAGAACAATTCTATACTATTGTTGCATCTATATTTCTGTACTTATTAGCAAAAATCATGTCGAGATATTTTTTAATCTTATCATGTTATGAAGAAATTTCTGGTCATTGTAGATTTTGATAATTATATTTGGTATTTAACTTTAGAGCTGTTTTCCACACACGCTAGCATCTTAAATGACCATTGCAGATTATTTGCTTCTAAATTGAATGGTCAATCTTTTCAAAATGTTTTGACATTTTATTCATTTACAGAAATTTTAAATAGAATCTTGCGAGTTTTCGTCATTTTATTTCGCTTTCCGAAAGCGTTTGATGTTAGCGGTTCCCGATGGAAAGCTCTACCAAGCTCGAAGTGTTCCAGCTTTCATGGCTGCTGTAATCTTCCGGATTAAATGACGTACAACGGTTCGCTCAATTTTACTTGTCCCGAAATTATTTAACGTAAATGCAGAATTCATTTTTTTCTTACGTGAGCAAATCTTTTAGCTTAATGTAAAGATTGTGTTATGTTGGCCGTTGGGGTTAAAGCTTTGATGTATTTAACGAAACAAATGAGCATGAATATCAAATAACAGGTGTTACTTATAAACAAATTCAGTAAGAATATTCCACAAACATTTCATTCTCGAAACAATATTGAGGTCTGAAAAATTAAATGTTTTTCTCACTTCAATAAGCTTCATGAAGAAACAATACGAACCTTCCTTTTACAGGTCTTGAAGAGTTAAATGAGAAATTAGAAGTAAATGAGGAAACCCATTTGTATTTTCGAGAGCAATAACTGATGTGTAATAACGAGCGCATAGAAAGTAACGATGTAAATAAGCATCACAAAAAGCTGGAGTATTACGAAAAATATTCTTAAGTGCTCTGCGTAGAAATTGAAGCGATTTGTATTTATTAAGAAAACGAGAACTTTTGGGCAATAACGATAACCTTTGAAGAATAAAGATTTGCGTTTTGGAATATTACATCTTTTTAATGTCAATTTTTCGGCAAAGAAACTTTATTGTAATATAAGGTGGAAGGAGAAAGCATAACGGGAACCAAAAATTAAAATGAAGTTAAATTATGAACAAAGTGCTGTTAAATGTTTTATTGGAATAAAACAAGGCATGTGTAATAAATTAGCACGACTTATTTTATTAACACCAATGAATATGTTCTAAATAATATAAGAAAGACAAAATGCTATAAATAAAAGGCTATTTCTCAATAAACTTGATTGCGTTGCGTTAAATTAGGATAAGGATGGCTATAAAGATTATATATGACATTATGTAGTTAGGTAATTAAGGGTATGTTAGTAAAG